GAGGGATGAAATAAAAAAAAAGGTGACTGCTTTGCACACTGAACTAATGTATACAAGTTTAAACACCTGAAAATTTACAAGGAATCCTGAGTGACCAAAGGACTTCAAACCAACAGCAATAGTTAGCCAAGCTGAAGCAATGGCTGGACTCTTTGCTGCATTTAAACCAATAAGAGCAATACCAGGACCCACAAAGCCAATTGTCTGCACGAAACAATATCAAAGGGTCAAAGCTTGGATTTAATCCCAGCAGCATATATCCACATTTTAATATTGATTTTCAAATCAATATTAATTAAATAAACGGCAGGTGGTAGCACAAAAACTTGGCATTTTTACCAGAGTATCTACTGTGATTTACCATTGTGAGAATTGTGTTACGGATATACAATCAGCTCTGACTATAATTTAGCCAAGCTGGATAACAAAAAGAAGGGTAGATTGGTAAAGTTGTTGTTCATGAAGGGTCACCTATGTTAGTAATTGCTTTGAAAATATCCATGCCTTGCATTCCAAACATGCAATAGCTTACAAATAACATATGTAAGGTTTCTTTGAGAACATCCATGCCTTGCATTCCAAACATACAATAGCTTACAAATTTAACATATGCTGATTGATGTATCTTGTGAAACCAACCGCCAATAGTTCATCATATCACAAAATTATGGTATGTTTGGTAAGAATGTGGAGGTGTACTCAAGATCTTATTCAATAAAACAAACTAAAAACACAGTGATGATTCTTCACTTTTATTTTAACCTGAAAATTTTCAGCAACGCACCTGCATTATCTTCCGAGTTAAAGTAATGCTTGTGCCATTTCGGATAAGTGTGTCTGATACAACACCAGCCACATAACCTAAAACTGCCATCATGACCCAGGGAATTGCACTAAACCATGCAGCTTCTCTCAGATTGACATGAAATATCTGACCACCAAGGAAATATTTAATAAACCACAGGGAGAATCAGTTTATTTAGTCTAGAAACATGCAGCGGAATCAGGGCTTACGGTTTTGAAATACACTGGCATCCATGAAAGGATGACGAAATAGCCCTGAAAAAATAACACAGCCCTCAAGAGATTACCCATAAACAGTATTCCTCACATGGCACGATCTAACCAAAGAGTTAAGTTTATAGGAGTTACCCAGCTATGCATAGCATTTGCAGAAATTAAAGCCCAGGTCGGCCATTTAGAAAGTAGGTTTCTAAACGGAGGGATCTTTTTTAGTTTTTCACCTTGAACTTGAGGTTTCACCAATTTCTGACCCTTTGTTATATACTCTAGTTCATATGCTGATATTTGAGGATGTTCACCAGGAGTTCCCGTTATAGCAGATATCCACACCAGCACCCACAGAAATCCAAACAAACCAAAAATCACAAAGGGTCCAAATGTTCCAGTTCGTGACATGATAATAGGGGAAAGAAGTAAGCCGATGGTATTTCCAAGCTGAAAGCCAGCCATAGCGATCCCCACAGCACTAGATCGTTCAGTACGAGGAAACCACCTGTAAGAAAAGGCCCAATGTAAACGTTTTCATAAATATTGACGGGCAGGGCAACAAAAACAATACAAACATTAGGTTCTGGTAAAAGCATGAAGATTAATCAAGTGAAGAAAAATTACAGAAATCAAAAGAAATACCTCAGCACCATATTGTTCATACATGGCAATGCCACTCCTTCTGCAACACCGAGCAGAATTCTCGTTGAGATGAACAACCACAGTGAGCGTGCAGCTGCCCAAGGGGAAAGGAATGTAGCGAAGGACCATAAAGCCACACCATATGCCATGACTCGCTTCCCGCCATAGTAGTCAACAAGCGCTCCACCGATTATAGGTGATATCAGATACCCCCAAAGGAAGGATGACTGTATGAAGCATCAAAAACACAATGGCATCACCACATCATTCAAGGAAGAGGCACAAAGTCATGTAGGAAACTAGAACAGTATAGGCAGTGGTCACTCCACGGTTTGGTTAAGGTGAACAGACATCCGGACTTCCACGGTTTGTCAAACACAATAGTTTGTACATTACTTTATGGCTGCCAAGGGAGGAAACTATGCATGATGTATAATATGGATGAAGAAACTGAAAGAATTAGCATGTGAATCACTGATTTAGTGGGAAATGTATTAAATCTTATACCAGCGTGTCATCCGAACCATGCCACCGCACTTCCATTCAAGTATTAAACCGTAATTGCAATTGAGCACTGGAGCACGTCGCTGAACCTTAATCGTCGTAGTTGAGCATTCTATCACCAAACACAATTGTGTCCCCGAGGCCGATCACTAGTGGAATAGCGGTGTGTGCAGTGCAGCCAAACAGCAGCAAACAGAAGCAGCAAGAGCTGGGAACCTGCACGACGCCGGCGAAGGAAGGGGTCCACCCGTACGCCTGGGAGAGCGGGACGATGGCCACGGACATGACGACGCGGTCGGCGTTGCAGAGCGCGAGGGCCAGCCCCAGCATCGCCGCCACCTTCACCCTCTCAGACGTCATGAACTCCGCCGCCAGGGCCTGCGCCTCGCCTCCGCCGGCGGCGGAGGCCCCAGGAGGCGCAGCAACGGGGCGGGTCCTGTTCCTGGCGAGAGGGCGGAGCGGCTGGAGGGGAGCGGGACACAGGAGGCTGTGGGGCTGCCATGGAGGCGGACGCGAGGTTTGAGCGCGGGCGGGAGGAGGCAGGCGACGGCGGCCGGAGAGGAAGGGGGGAGCGGAGGGAGGCAGGAGCGAGCGGGTCAAGGGGAGCAGTTGGCCGGGACCGGGAGGGGCCATGGTTTGTTTTCTCCGCCGTCCGGGTGCGCTGCCGGAGTGGAAGTGGTGGGTGGATGATTCAGGGTTTTTTTTTCGAGACACTGGGTGGATGATTCAGGTGAGGTGGATTGGTGCAGTGACGTGTACTACTGGCGCTGGTTTACGGGCTCGCTTTGTTCATGTGGTCCGTGATGCTGGCGCTGGTTTGTTTGGACCCGGCCTGACGGTACGACCCGCAATTTGTATGGGCCGGAGCCGGTGCCAATTATCCACGCACTCTGCGAATGCTGTCGATGCTTCATCCCACCATCTTGTTTGCCTGGTGCAAAAATTAATCACTTGAAGAGAGTCAAATTTTGCCTCAATCCGGTTGAAGCCAAGGGAGTTATCAAGTTTCAGACCATCTCTCATATCCATTGCTTTTGTGGTAATTGCGTCGGCAACCTATGAAATAAACGTGCATTGAGCAATCAAGAAATTTCCTCCATCACCTAGTAAAACAGCAGCAGTTGTGCCTACTCCTTCATCCAAAAAGAATGGAGCATCCACATTCAGTTTAATGAGCATTGATCAGGCTTACACCATTTTAAATCAGACTCAAAAGAGACCCAAGAAAGTGTCTTCTATAAGTTGCTTGCTATTGGCA